AACCTTTCTTGAAGTTCAGGCCCAGATTCTTTTTTGTCAGTACAAAAACTTGGAAATAGCTTGATTTATACACAATGTTTTAGGCTTTTACAATTTCAAATTATTTTCCTACTGTGAAAGGCAGCATTAGAGCCATAGTTTGCTTTTTAAGAATATTGACAAAATTATAAATTTAACTTCAGCCTCTGCTCTCTTTGCTCTAGTGGTTCCCGATAGGTTTTTATATAAATTTGCTAATTATCCCTCTTTAACAAAAATTCAGTCTTGCCCTTGTTTTGTCAGCCATCAATTGTTCTAATTCATCATCGGCTATTTAAGTGTGATGTGGATTTTTATCAGCATTGTTTATTTCCCTGAGGAATCTACTCAGATTTCTTTCCCAGAGGCTGAAAAAAAGCATTTGTGTAACCCTGTACAAATGCCAGTTACTTCTGCCAGTAAAACAGAGTTGTCATTTTCTGAGACCCTGCTTTCTTTCCTTCACTTAAGTAATCCTGAAAAAGTGTTCATTTGGCATCTTCACTTTTCTTATTTTACTTTTACATACTCTGCATTTTGCTATTTTTGTCTCATCCTTGAGACCTTACATATTATATATACCTTTAATATACTGGGGGTCTTGAACATAAAGCAATCTATCTAAATATTTTCAGTCTTGCTCTTTTTTTTTCGTCCTACTTCTTTCTCGTTAATTTTCATGTAGCTTCTTTTTTGTATTCCCTGCCTACTATTTGTGGTAGGCAAAAGTGAGTGCCGATATGATTGACAGGGACTCGGATAGGACTGCTAACATTCTTGATTAGCTTAAACAGGTAATTAAATGGACTTTGGAATAAATAAAATGAGATTTGTGGATTAACGTTGGAGATGACTTATATTTTACTTGTATAACTAAAATACTTAGTTTGCTTCTTAATCTAAAATCCTTTGTTTTATAGACGACTAATAGACTCTACAGAAGAAGATGACAATCTACCCTGTAAAGCAGGTCCTAAACGAATTAGATTTTCAGGTCCTTCAACAAGCACTCAGATCAAAGTCAAGAACTCTGCTTCATTAAAATTAGTGGCCTGTGATACTCCTTCACATTCTGTTCTTAAACCATGTGGCACTGATAGTGTGTTACAACCCAGAACAGCACTAGAAACTGCACCTGCAACATGCCGAATGTTTACAAATTCTCAGGCATCTTGTGGAACTCAGAGTATTGAAAATGGAGCAATGCAGCAAGCTGCTTCCAAGATGTCATTGTCTAAGAAGCCTATATCAAATCGAGTTGTAAAACTGAAGCGGACTCCACTATGCATTGTGTCACCATCTCAATCATCTTCCTCTGTTTTGAATAACACAAGTGAACAGGAGGTACAGGCAGTTGGAATTCCTGCAACTTCCATGTCGCTAAGTAACAAAGAATCAGTTAGATCCACAGAGCATCTAAAGCTCAAGAGTAAAATGGAGATTGACATAATAGATGATAACATTTAACTGCTAAATTCTTGGAGCATATTTCCTGGCATGACTTTCTAAGAGAGAAACTTCTGACCAAGCTATCAAGAAGCAAACATATGTCCTGGATTATAATTTACTAAAAGAGCTGGTAGGAAATTGAGAGAAAAATAGTATAAATTTTAGAGAGAAAAGGTTTGGAAAGCATGGTAAGTTGAGAGGAGTTTTCCTGGTCTAGTTCTTAATGTTTTTGGAGGGGACTATATTTTTTTAAACCAGTTTTGCAGTACATTGTCATGGTATCCTTTTTTAAAAATGTACAAACACAGATGAACCAGACGTGGATGTCCTACTTGAAAATACATCCCAAATTAAAAAACAGCATGAAGTTATAGATTTTAAAAACATATTTTCAACTTGGGAAAAAACAGACTATTGTCATTAGTAATACAGGATCCACATGCAGATTAAAACTTAATTTAAACTCTCCAGGGGTATAAAATATCAGGCCTTACAAAGGTATCAAAGCCACCAAGAGTAAATGCATAAATGATGGCTTTACAGTGTTTTCAGAAGTTAAAATGGGCTAAAAGGAGTCAGCCTTGCATGTAGAATTAGACATTATAAGGGGAACAAAGGCTTGTTTTGAAAGCAACAACCAAGAACTAGATGTATAAATTCCTTAGGGAGCATGATCCATGTACTGCAAACATCAACCCAAGCTAGCTGATTTTACATGCTATTTCTTTAGCATCTAGACAGTGCCTGGTGTCACACTACTGCAGTCTACTCTGTCCTACAATTGCAGAAAGTCTTAGGCCTGACAGCCCTCATTGCTTTGTTCTACCTTGTGTACCTTTGTAGATGACCGGCTGTAAATGAGCAAGGACAATCCAATCTCTACCTACACTGAGGCAGTGTAGTATAGAGCCCTGCTTAGTGAAAACAGGTAAACAAAGAAGTCATCCAAGGGGGAGGGATGAAGGACAGACGGCTGAATTGCTCTTGAACATTTAGATCAATATTGTGTAATGTTAACTTTTTTATGTTTCAAGAACTGAGCCTCTAAAAGAAAACAGGTATAAAATTTAGCAATACTTCTGTTCTCTTGGGATCATCTTATATTTTGAAAGCTAGCTTCCATCTTTAATTGCCCGTGCTAGACACTTATTGTTTAATGAAATTTTAGATTTAATAGAAAACATGATATAAAGATGCTAAAATTGCTCAACTTGCCCTTTCCTTGCACGTAAAATTTTCCATTGGTGCTAAAGGTCTGAACTATTCCTAGAATGGAGTTTGAATGAAAATCAGTTTTTAAAATAGATATTCTATTTTGTGCACTCTTTGCTTCATTCTCTAATTTAATTAATAACTGAGGAAATGTTATAGAAAGATAAAATGTCTTAAGAATGATTCCCATCTCATCATTTTGAGGTGCTTTAAAAGGCGTATAAAACCTAAATAAAGCTTGGCAATAGTTTGGATGAATTTTACACAGAAAATATTTAAGAAAAAATTTTGTGGGATTTTTTGTGCTGGCTTTAGTTCATTATTTTTGCTTTAGATCTTCCCTGGTAGCAAAGTAATTTTTTTCAAGTATTATTTATAATAGCCCTTAAAAGTAGTAGTTGCCTTGTTGTAACATTGTACAGACTTCCTGCAAAAAAACACAAAAAAAAAAAACAGCCCTAACTCAAGGATTTAGAGATTAAATTTTGAAAAAGCTCAACAGGTAGATGAAACAGTCAAGCAGACTGCAGGCGGTCAGAAAATAGAACAGTAAGATTTTTTTTAAAATGGATTAATTCTAATGCTCCATTGACTTCATTGGAAGTTGGATCAAGCTCATTGTTAATGAACGACGTGCTTTCTTGTAACCAAACAAATGCATATTTGCAGCCAACTTTGTAGAATGGAATAAGCGCGACATCTCATAATTGTTACACCAATGTGTGTATTGTTGGTATGTTTCATGGTTAAATAATTTTGAACATTAATTTTAGTTTAATATATTAATTAATTCTGACTGTAACAAAATAAAAATGGGCCTATTAAGGGGAAGAAGCAACAGCACCTAATGGCCACCCGTAAGCATTGCAGCCTGAAACCCACTGATTCAGGAAAGTCATCGTTTTGGCATAGGTCACATGGCATTTTGGAATGGAGAGACATTAAGCAGCATTGCCACAAATAAAAGAATTTTCTCTCGAGTTTTTGCCCACCTTTGGTTTCCCACCTTCCTTCATAAGTGCAGCAAATGACCTGGGGTCTTGGAAGTTTGCTGTAGTTTTTTTTTAATCACATGATTCTGTTTTGGCAAAGGGAATCCTATATGGTATGGTGTATCTGCTTCCACAAACCTTGCCACAGATACATTGTACATGCTGGATAACTTGAAAGATTGGGGGAAATTTTATATGAGCTACAGTTCTTCAGCTGGATTTGATCCAAGTATCCTCATAGTCTGTTTAGTAATCGGCTTACTTTTATAGTAATAAAATTTTCTCTCTTATTAAAAAGAAATTATTCAGTGAGAAAGTAACCCCAGTTTAACTATGTTATGCTGACTACTAATGTCAAATGTCCATGCAGTGATGTATGAAATATATATGCCTCGTTAGCTGATTAATTAAATTAAACAATACATTCATCATTCTAATTAATATTCTCTATTCACTCTCTCCTGTCCCAGATTTGTGTTTTCCAACAACCAAAAGCTTGTCATTGTAATAGTTAAGTATTCAGGAAAAATACCCTTACTAGCTTAATATCTAGAAAATCATTCACATGTGACTGAGCATGGGGCTGTGATGCAGGAAGCTGCTTATTGCCAAAGCATGTGATTGATAGTCAATGAAGTGCTTCAAAGTATGGAAAAGTCATCTGCACTGTATTTAATTGAAACAAATAGATATTATTTCATGTGATAGGCACATGTTCCCTTCAAATGTTTGAGAGAATTTTGGTAGTGTTTGTATTTTGCTAAGAACCATAGAAATGTTACACAATTAAATGAACTAATGTCAGTCACTAAGTGTTAAAATAGCTTGCAAAACTTTATAAAAACAGTGAAAGCAGCCTTTTTATAAGCAACCATGACACACTAATGGCCCTTAAAGGCAATTTCCCCATTTTTCTTAACCCAACATTATAACACATGTCCAATCTCGTTTCTTATGTCACCTCTGCTCTGTTAGTACAATCTATGATTAGCCATTTATCTGCTGTGCCCCTAAGTATCTCTGCTTTCTTTCATTTTGTCCCTTATTCATAAAATGCCAATTCTAATTAATCTGCAACTACCCTAGTGCCCTCTTCAAATTCTTAGCACCTACTATTTACCTCTTTTTGCATCACTGAAATGCCTTTTCCTTCCAGTCCTCCTTGAGAGCACAAAGGAATCTAAAAACTATTTCTGTTTAAGTATTTAACTTAGTGGCTGAATTCACCTCTGTTTGGAAGAAAGACTAATGTCTCTCAGCAAGTATAATAATCAAGTTGAGATTTAAGTGCTCCTCCCCTCATCCTCTTAAACAGTGCAAAGCTCTTACCTGAGAAAACAGGGGGAAAAAGAAAAGCTGTTCCTCCAAAAGCTTGAGAGAGAATGAACTAACCTCTTAGCTGTTTGGCTTCAGCTAACTTAAAGACTCACAAGTGCCGGAATCAGGCAGCAGGAAGTGAAGCATTCTGGGTATTCTGCTGTAGCAAAGCCTTGTAACAACACCCCAGCTGTAAATGCTGTAAAATGGCGAAGTGCTAGGAACTGAAGTTACAGAGATTTATGGAAATTTAGTCTCATATTTGTTTTATTTTTCTCTTGCTGATTCTGGTTGCTTATGCAGCTCCCCTCCTGCCACCCCTCCTTTGCCAAGTTATTTTGCAGATCTTCCCACTGCTTGCTCAGTGACTGACAATGCTGTGTGTCCATATATTTGCAGCAAGGATTCAGGTACTTTGACACTGGTTATTTTGCAAATATTAGATGCTTTTCAGCTCATTCCATGCTCTAATGCAGCATCCACTAATATTTTAAACTTTTTATTTAGCTTTTAATGAGCAAGATATTAAATGTTTTGAAATTTGCTATAAAGATCTATCCCCTTTATCATAACTTTAAGAGCATTTCTTGCCTATCTGTAGTGTTCAGTTTTCTAGCTTGCAAATGATGTAGCATAGGGATATCTTGGGTCTTTTTTATGTGACATCTTTGAATGGATTTAGTGATTTCTCACTGGCAGCCAGGATCGAACCTGGACCACTGTATCAGACACCACAAGCTGCTGAGGTAAGAGTTCTAGATCTGTAAGTTTGAAAATTGCAGCTGATGTAAACTCTGATGTGGCCCAGCCACTAGATGAAGACAGTCTTAGTAGGAATTGCTATTGCCATACTAGATCAGCTAGTCTAGTTGAATTAGAAGCTGCCTTATTCATTGTTAACTTTTTCAGGATAACTTTTTCAAAGCCACACAAATTTCAAAGTCATATTTTCATAGGTGCCCAATTCACTTAGGCTCCAGTTACTCATTGCAGAAGGGGCTGGCCAGGGGGCAAAAATATTGATCTTATGCCTGGGGACAGAGCACAGAGATTTACAGTATAGATGTTTGAAGGGTGCCTGCTTGAGGGATGACCTTCAGGTCAACGCTCAGTGTAGATGGAAGCTCAGCAATTCGAAACAATTGTGCATGGTTTACATTTTTTCAATTTGCAGCCTTCCAAATTCAACCTGGGCTCTGAAGGGCATGTGCGGGGGTCCTTCTGTTCTCATTTTACAATGACAAATAATAGATTGTTCTGCAAGCTAAATCACACCCTTCCCAACACCTGTGCATTCCCTTTGCCTTAAACAGGGTTGAACAGATGGTTGATCCTGTAATTTGAATGTAATAGAGTGCTATTGACAATAAGCATGAAGTAAAATCTAGTTAGTTAGTTGTCAGTACTAAAAGTAGTAAAAAGGAAAAAAAACATACTTTTGTCACAAAAGTCAGCAGATACAGCTCCTATGGCACACAGGGATAAGTGGAAGGTGAAGAGGTGCTTGCTTTTACCCATCCACCTAATTTTAAACCTGGTTTAAATATGTATAACCCATTCTAAATCGTAACTGATGTAATAACATTGAACAGATACCTGAGTGATCTTAAAGACCAGCTGGAGATTCCAGCTTCCCTTTTCTTATCAATGTGTTTGCAATCAAGAAAGGTGTCTGCATCGTCATGTGAAGATTGTCATATACAGATGTATTGTTTTTCAACTCTCAGTTCTGGATCAATCAAATACTGAGGCCGTGCTTTATTAAAAGTCTGTATTTACTAGAACTGAAATTAAATCATCTTGTCATGTAAGTTTGCCCCTTGTGTAGCATAGACTTGATTTCAAGAGAAGAATTCTTTTGGGGGAGATTTATTTATAAAATTCAAAGAATTTCATTAACAAAATTAAGGAGTTGTCTGAAGAGGGATATAATTCACTATGGGTAAGTTACTATTTTTTAGAAATTAAGGTTTTAGGAACCTATCTAAGCATTGTATAGTTTCCCTGCACTATACCCATGTGGAAATTACTAATACGTTCATGACAGTAAGGTCACAAGTCAAAGCAAAGGTCTTTAGGCAAATCTAGGAAAAGTTACCTTTCCAATACCAGCACATACTTGCTTCTAATGGGCCATCAGAAGTTCAGATCCAAATGTTCATACAGTCAGATTATTTATGAAATACCAATGCAGAAGTAGTGACTAGTTTTGAGTAGGACATTATTTACCCTGGTACTTCTGTTTTTCCTCACTACCTCTCAAGATGAAGACAAGCTAATGGCTTTTTACAGCCATACTAACTGCCAGTGTCCTCATGCAAAACATCTACTGATGTCACCTGAGAGAAAATGACCACTTTAAAGAAAATCAGAACATCTGCACTTTGAGTTTTTAAGAGACAAATTGACAAAATGGGACACTGTCAATATTGTGGAACTGAGCAAAGCCATCTAGTAAAAATTAGGCAGAGCCATCTATGCCAAAGCACAGAATAGCAAATAAGTTCCTGGTGTTACATTTGTAAACATGCTATGCTGCCTAATTCCCGCTGAAAATATGTGCCTAAACACCTTTACTAATTGTAGACCTTAGACCTTTGAGTTCATGTTGTGAGAGGGAGCTTGAGCTGGATACTTCACAAACGGCATCTCTGAAGTCACTGTTGTGACTTGTGAAGCAAGATGCTACTCAGTGGGTGCATAAACACATGACTAATTAGCTCTGCTGTAAAACCACCATCTACACATGCAGTTCTATTAGGACAGAGTAAACTAATTAACTCCACTGTACAGTAGTACTTCCAGACACAAGTACTATCTTATGGCAGAGCCATAGCCAGCCCTCCTGTAGCATGTTGAGCTGGGTCAGAGCAGACCCAGGCTGGCAGGTGACCCCTGAGGCTCCCTGCCAGCTGGGGCTGCTCTGCGCTGGCTCAACATGCCGCAGTCCCAGACATGTGTTCAAATGGTGTGCCTGGGACCAATCAACTCTGGTGCAAACTGCTAGAGTTTATTCAGCCACATTAATTGCACATGTAGACGTTCCCTGTGTGATGAAGGATGCTGGAATATAGCCCATCATAGGAAATAAAGGCTTAAACCACTGATGTCCATTGAAAAACTCAAGACTGATGCTAATGAGATTTGGATCAGTTCCCAAATACATCTAAAGGAACAGGCAGACAAACAAGTCATTATGAGGTAAACCAAATTTCATCAACAAAGATTAAAAGATTAAAGATTAACAAATGAAGGAGAATTGTACTTAGTGTGAGTTTTGCCAGAAGCTTTTCAGGATTGGGCCCAAAGTTTCTGTTGTTGTTACTGCAAAGATTAATATAAAACAATGAGAATCAGAGGTGGTTAGGTACTGTAAGGCAGCAGACACTAAATATTTTAAAGTAGCATTTAATTTGTCTGGAAGGAACACGGTTTCTGAAATACAGACTCTGGCTATTAAAACTATCTAGGATTTTTTAATAGAAAACTCAGAGGATGGGATACCCACTTATATATATATGCACTTCCACATTCTATTCCATGTTGCCATAACAGATTTGTAAGAGTTGTTGTTCTCCTATAGGAGAGGTGGTTTCTATGGCAGAAATTAACATAGAAAAATAATTGGAATTCAAATCTGAAACACCTGCAACTTTTCATAGCTGAAAAATAAATCTAACTAGTCACAGCAAAGTGACCAAAGAGGGTAGACAATATAACTCTGGTTGGATAGCCATGAATATATACAATCCAAACTTTTGAAATGAGCATTTTCCCTAGTCTCATAAAAATAGTTTATCGATGAAAAATACCAATGTGTAATATAATTAATACAATTTTTATATTGGAATTGAGAGATCTCTGATTATGGAATGACAGACAAAAATATCAAATGTATTATTTTTTTAATTTGTTTTGTATAGAGCAATACTGTGTGTATATAATATATATGTATATATGGAGAGAAAAAGATGTATAGAAATTTTTCAGGATAAAATCTACAAGAGCATCCAGTTTCATTGCAGACCATCATGTACGAAGTTCCTGGTAACTTTCCTAACATTAGCTGCTCTAAAAACAACAAGTGGACTTGTACAACCACATATCTATAACAGGCATCAGGCTACTGTGCATTTGGTCTTCACTTTATTTTTTCAATCTGGATTTTATTTTTATAAGTAAGTACTAAATGCTGCCTGGCTAAAATTCTGCATTGCCATGACAAAATAACCTTGAGCATATTGTGCAAAGCTTTAAAAGTATGAAGTGAGTTACTGCTCATAATTAGAATGAATAAAAATACTAGCAGGTTTCAAATAGCAACTGATTTCAACTGATTGTATGTTCTGACAGACAATTTTTTGTCAGTATTTCAACAAGCACCTTGACTGAGAAACTGAAAAGAGATTAAATTGCTCCCTCTCTCCATTGTGAGAATTTAAGCCACCAAAGTCACAGCTGGCACTGAGAGGACAGTGGCATCAGCAGAGACTTCTATCCTTGCAGGACATAAATTGCATTGAGAGACCCTAGCAACGCTGTTTCGGAAAGACCTGGGTTCTGTGCTGTCTGGTGTATGATGCTTTCGTCGGGTCTTTTCTGAGTGTGTAAGATTCTCTGTGGTCCTTGTAGCTGCAGATGGGTCTTGGTTTTTTGTAGCTCCTTTGTTTTTGGGTCTGAAATTATTATGCTGCTGTCTTCTGTGTTCAGATCTGGAGCCGCTTTTTATATTATTCTGATCTGTCTCATTGGTACTTTGTGACTTGCCAGACCCATTAAGCCGGAAGCTTTGATGCTGTGGGTTGAATCTTCGTCGCTGGATAAAGGGCCCATTCTACCAAGAAAGAAAACGAATAAATGGTTGTCTACACTCTTCAGATATAACAATGGAAGCAACAAGGTAAAAATTAACTCTTGCAAAATAAAATTCCTGCTGAACTGACTTGATTTTTTTATTGAGGATATAAACAAAACATGTAAAATTTAATTGGTATTAGACCTGTCGAAAATATCTGAGACTACAAAGAAATCACTATACTGTTGGTACCCAAGCTATTTGCAAATATATGTGCCAGTCAAGCACATTAAATTAAAACTTACTGGGACACAAGGAAATGTAAAAAAAGTGGTGATAAGCGCTATAGAAATAAGAGCAGCAAAACTAAATAGCAGTGGTTAGAACCAAGTTTACTTTGACTTCTGCCCCTTGAAACCTCAAAGTACTGCTTCTCTGGTGAAGTATTGTATAAATGGTACAATGATATTTACAAAAAGGAGAAGAAAACTCCACATGGAATGGAAAGAAGAAAAAAATTGTGAGAAAAAAATTGTGTGGATGGCAGATACATCCATTCTGTTCATCTACACAGAAGAGGCTTTATCAGTTTTGGAATGTTGTTTCGGGTTTTTTTCTATGACTGCCATGGCAGCAGGTTGCATATATACACTGGCGGTATAAAATGCACCAATATTTTTCCTGCCTGATTCTGTAATTTCTACTTGTACAAAACTCAGATTGACTTTATCAAGAGCTTTACCTGAGTAAGCACTACAGTACAAGGACATTATAAGGTGCTCCTGTAATGAAACAGCTAAAAAATACCATAGTATAGTAAACAGAATTAGAGAGCTTTTGAAATAATATTGAAATCACGTAGGATTCCAATTTCAAGGTCTACCAAATCCTGCTTCAGGGCATGAGCTGATCACTTATCCAGAATTAGGAACAAATATTTGTTCATAGCACAATTAGGTAGCTTGTGAAGTTTGTAAAACTTCGCTCTGATGCAACTGGCATTGGTCATTGTTAAAAGCAGGATTTTGATCTGTTCTGGAATGGCAGTTCCCATCTCCATGTATCGTGTACGTTCACACAAGAAATAAAGATGGAAAAGATTTATACATTTTGTCCATCTCTCTGTCAACATCAAAATGTATATGATGTATTTTGAAATGGTATATGGTTTTGTGTGACTGACTTTTAAGTGCACATTTTCCATGAGTTTGTGAAGGTTTATAACTAGTTTAATTCATGGCTATTTTTCTCACCTGTTTATTCATTGGGATTACTTGTGTAGTGGGTTCTGTGGGATTGGAAGGAACATAAATTGGCATTTTAGTGCTTCCTGTTTTACTTTCAGAGTTCTTCATATTACTAGAGGCTTTTCGGGGATGTGTATTTTGCTTGCCAGTGGACAGATTTGAAGTCACAGAAGACAATATCGAACTGCATGATGTTCTCGAAGAGTAATTGTTCTTTGGGTGAGAAACTAAAAAACAAGAACATTTGGTGTTATCAGATAAACATGAAAATATAAACCCCAGATTCTTATCTCAGTTGCACTGGATTTCAGTGTAGTCACTCCAGACTTACTGTAGATGACTTCCTGTAGTTACTCAGATGACTGAGAACAGTTAGGCCCGCAGCATGTTTATGCTGTGAACCAGTGTAGTGAGTGGTATCACAAGACACTTCTGGAGATGAAGAGCCAGCCCTGGTATAAGTCCACTGATTCCATTCATGCACTGAGCAGGGGGTTATCTCGCAGATGCTTCACAAAGCTTTTCAAAACCCCCACAAGTCAACATTTTGTTAGATACATTAATACATTTAGAAAAAGACAGCACTTCCAAAGGGAAAAAATCACTCGGTATGCAACACTAGGAATCTCCTTGGCCACCTGTGTTTGTCTGACTGGATAGGCCTGGATCCGAACTGGTGATTTGCAGGTTTTTCTCATTGCTTACCAAAGGAGGAATCAGAGATTGCACTGGGCAGGAGGCAACACATGTGCACATGGATCCAATCCTGTCAAGTTTTAAGTACTCTCCACTTCCATCATCATAGATTCATAGATGTTAGGGTCGGTAGGGACCTCAATAGATCATCCAGTCTGACCCCCTGCATAGGCAGGAAAGAGAGCTGGGTTTAGATGACCCCAGCTAGATGCATATCCAACCTCCTCTTGAAGACCCCCAGGGTAGGGGAGAGCACCACCTCCCTTGGGAGCCCATTCCAGACCTTGGCCACTCTAACTGTGAAGAAGTTCTTCCTAATGTCCAGTCTAAATCTGCTCTCTGCTAGCTTGTGGCCATTATTTCTTGTAACCCCCAGGTGAATAAAACCTCACCAATTCCCTTCTGTGCCCCCGTGATGAACTTATAGGCAGCCACAAGGTCGCCTCTCAACTTTCTCTTGCAGAGGCTGAAAAGGTCCAGGTTCTCTAGTCTCTCCTCATAGGGCTTGGCCTGCAAGCCCTTAACCATATGAGTGGCCCTTCTCTGGACCCTCTCCAGGTTATCTGCATCCCTCTTGAAGTGCGGTGCCCAGAATTGCACGCAGTACTCTAACTGTGGTCTGACCAGCGCCCAATAGAGGGGAAGTATCACCTCTTTGGATCTATTCGTCATGCATCTGCTGATGCACGATAAAGTGCCATTGGCTTTTCTGATGGCTTCATCACACTGCCGACTCATGTTCATCTTGGAGTCCACTAGGAGTCCAAGATCCCTTTCCGCTTCCGTGCCACCAAGGAGGTCATTTCCTAGGCAGGAGGTCATTTCCTAGGCAAGGAGGTCATTTTCTAGGCATCCTTATTGCTAGGTACCTCATAGGACAGGTACCTCTCTGTCAGTCTAGTTGTTCCTGGTGTGTAATGGGGGTAGACACTGATATCCACAGAATGCTGTGAAACAGCATGATGGTGACATGGAGATGCAGCTTGCTATGGAAGACTGTGTGAGGGCAAATCAAGTCCATACGAGTTCTGTCTTAGAAGGCTATGCCTCCCACATGCCTACTGCATCCAGGGAGCATGGACACTTTGCTACCAAGGATGGTTTACGCAGCTTATGTGCTTTTCGTAGTTAGTTTTGCTGGCTACTACAGAGACAGCAGGATTCAGCTTTCTCAGTGTCAGCAGTGATACTGACAGTCCTTTGGTACCTGCACTACCTGCATGGGCCAACTCCCACATTACCCAGCACAAGAGCACTTGGCTGCTTTTTCCTGTGTGCGTTTGCATATAGCCAGATGCAATCTCTGTGCTAAAGGCCACTTAACTTAGTTCAGTAGCCTGAAGGTTTGCCAGATAACAGCACCATCAACAGTGAACTATCAGTTGGTGTGGCTGTCTTGCTGGAAGGAGGTTATGCTGTTTGTGATATTAACAGGGAGAGACTAGAAGCCAGTTTATGAATTATTTTAGCACTGGTTAAAACGTAAGAGTAATATAAATACTGAGCATGTGTAAAAACTGAGTTATTTTAAAGCTTCTTATACTAAATAGTGAAAAGTAGTCTCTTCCTTTGGATGTTTCCATTACACTGCTAGTCTCAGAAACACCACTTTTCAGATGGCTGCCACCAGCACAAGACTAGGATAGACCAGTTAGATTTGTAACTTTACGCCTTAGACTTGTTCTTTTGAAACCATAGAACTACAACTATGGATACATAATTTCTGGTTTCTGTTGCTTCTTAGTCTGTGAATTTGTACACAGTTAAGTGGAGCAAACTTACTGTACATTTCCTTTAGGATTCCCCCTCAAACTGCAGTCCTGTCAGATACTTGTAGTTTGATGGATCAAAGTGTTTTAATTAAAGTCTTCTGGTAGCAAAGGGAGAAACGCACACAGGCAGAGAGTGCGATACCAGTAAATCCCAGAGCTGCACAAAGCCAATGGTAGTTGTACCTGTATTACCTGGACCTTACTTTGGCCCAGAAATTTAAATGAATATGACATTCATGGAAACTGGACCCTCTGAGGCTAAAGTTCTCTATCCATGGATAAGGTACAGATGAGTAACAGCCATGCAAATAACTATGTAGTGCCCAAACAGTTGGGGCTGCAAAGACCAGCTTGAGAAGCAAACAGATAGCTCAGTCTGTCCTCTCTAGTAAGGCTGCCAGCCTAGAGGCCCAAATGTGAAATGGACATTTGTCACACTGAAACTGTATGGTTACCACCTACATATCTCAAAGTAGCTGGACAACTACCTGAAGAATTACTGTCAATCTCAACGTGTTTCTGTTATTCTTGCCATGTCTCCCTTTGTGGTTCTAATATAGTTTGAATCTCAAAACACTTCCATATCTGGCATTGAAGTGTAACCAAAGCAGCACTTCTCATCTTGCTGCACTTTCATACGCTCTTCAGCAGTCTATAGACCTCAGAAAGGTCACCAGGACTTGTGGGTAGAGTTTTTGTTCCTGACTTTCTCTGCCTTGATTTCTGATCAGAAAACATTATTGTTCCTTTTCTCTTAATATGAACACACTATGTTTGAACATATGCCTCAAAAGCAAAAGAAACCAGGTATTAGGAGAGATCTCAGCTATTAGATGTCATATTTTCTCTCATGGGAGTCACTCTACTAGGATAGCAAAGGAAGGTGTCAAATTTTCTTAAGACCCTAGTGGTTTTTGTGGAGTTTTCAATCACTTAGACTGATGTAACACCTAGTAGAACATATTTCCCCCCACTAGATGTCCTCTTGGCAAAAATAATGCAATTACCCACATGACTGAACTGTACAAAGCAAGACAGTGAACAAAAGGTATTTTTTTTATGCCCAGGGAGCATGAGATCACTGAATGCTACTCATCTGTTCTTTCCACAGCAGGCCGGCTAGGCTACTGCGGAAACCAGTGTGGGCATCTAGCTGCTACCATGAAGCATGCTCTTTGCCTAGTGACAGAAAATACATCTTTCCTTAAGACAATTAAAAAAAAAGTACAATATGTGCGGGCCCTCTCCCAATCCTGCCTGGATCGCCATGTGCGAGCTCTCTCCCGATCCCATCTGGGTCACCATGTGCGAGCCGGGGCGAGCCGGAGGCCCGTCTTTGTGCACACAGGCTGTGGCCGGCAGCCCGGGCACACGGGGCTGGAGAAAACCGCGGTGCGGTATAGTATGCTCGAGCTAGAATCAGTTACGGAGGCGTAATGGTTGATTGAAAAGATTATTTACTTACACCCAAGGTGGTCGCAGTGTAGGCTGGTCAGCTTTCCAGGCACAGCTCTGCTTGAGTTCTCGGTGGAGGACTCTAATACACTCGGTTCCTTGACCCCGGAGTGATTCAGGCTCCGCGGGGTTCAAGAATTCGTTCCCACGGAGCAGCTGTATCTCCATGAGTGTTACTCGGTTCCCAGGTCCCCCGGAGCTGTTAAGGCTCCGTGGGTTCAACAATGGGGTCCTTAGGACAGGGATACGTCTGGGCTGCGATCGGCGACGGGGAGAGGCTAGAGGTTAGTTGCCTCGGAGTCGTTAAGGCTCCGAGGGTTCGGAAATTAGGTCCCCCGGGGTTGTTGAAGCTCCGTGGGTTCGACAAATTAAACCTCTGTTGCCCTCTTAAGGAAAAAGCTGGGTTCGTATGGATCAGCAGCGCTTAGAGATCCTCACGCTCCTTTCCTGAACTCCACGTGCTTTCTCTCTCTCCGACTTGGGCGGAAACTACCCAAGCCTTTTGTACGGCTAGCAAGCCAATAGCTAGCCGCCACGTGTGCCTACATTAAGACTGGCCAATAATGTGGCTCAAATCTTAATACAAATGGCAGGAACTCCTTTGCATCGTGCATCACTATAATGCAAAAGAAATGCACTATGCAAAGAAAGCTACAGAACTGGCGGGAAAAGCTCCTGCACGCGGGTCCTCTGTTGCAACAGAACACTCCACCGTGCAAAAGAGCCGCAATTTTGGCGGGAACATGATTTAGCGATGCCGAAGCACACACAAACAAGAAAAACCACAACTTTGGGTTGTGACACAATAAACATGATTTATGTTGCAAAAATATTACTGGAGGTGTGATTTCAACTCATGACATTTCACAACCCTGATGTGGCGTACCTGTGAACGTACAGTAAGTCCCACTGATTTCCTGTCACTCCTTTCATGCTAAAAAGTCATAACATCCTTCCTTTGTCCAAACTTTGGATTACCTCTTCTGCTTGTCCACAGAGAAGTAGACTGGAAGGAAGAAAACTAGACTAGAAGTAGAAGGAAAGGAAGGATGGAGAGCAGCAGAATAAGGACCCTGGACTTCAGAAAAGCGACTTTGACTCCCTCAGGGAACTGATGGGTAGGACCCCCTGGGAGTCCAGTCTGAGGGGGAAAGGAGTCCAGGAAAGATGGCTGTACTTTAGAGAACCCTTACCCAAGGTCAGTCTGCAAATGAGGGGCAGGTGAGGTTAGAACACGGTACGGACTGCCAGAGCAGTGCCTAATTCAGTGGTTCTTAACCTTTTTAAATTCAAGATCCTCCACCCCATAACCTTTCTGAATTTGGAGGCACCCCATTTCAAAAACTAATTTCATTCATTATTTTACTATGGAAAGTGATCCCTGGTAATGTCTGATGGCCAAGAGCTCCCAAATTGATAATAATGTCAAAGCACACAAAGATAAAAATATGGACGCTGTTTTTGTCACACAAAAAAAACCATGGAAAGATAATAGACCAATTTTTCTTCTGCAAAGAACTCAGGAAGACCAGAACAGGTCAGAATGCTTTTGACACTGGATTCCTATTTGAAATCTCTGCCTTCTGCCTGGGTTTATTTTGTGAATTATGTGTCAGTGTTTGCACATTTAGCAGGCATAATGTTGCACAGCACCCTTAAAAGAATCTCACAGCAGCCGACGCTATTGTGGCACCCCAGCTGAGCAACACTGGCCTAGCTACTATAATGCACAGCATCCCTTCTCATGTCAATAACAGTACACCTAAGGACTGCACTGGCATGACTCCTATGGAACTATGAATGGGCTTAAAGAAGAGTAGATGCCTATATACATTACTTAACTACCCTAAATAATTAACCTGTGAAGTTCACTGCAGCTGGATGTAATTTTAGCAAACAGTTCAGTAAGATCTTAAAAAATGAACAGACGCTTATATCAACAGGAGCTGCAGCTTCTCTGGTTAGGATGATATTTAAAAACTTTCAAGTCTTGAAGCTTTAGGGCATGTGATAATTACTATGAGGTCATATGAACAATTAAATGTATTATTTAGTGGTTTAGACATTCCTTTGAAACATCCTGAGTTGGCTGGCAGCAGACAGGATACTGGGTTAGATGGACCCTCACACTGTTCTGCAATAGTAATTCCTATGGTCTAATGAATTAAACTGTGACTCAAGGGAGACAGTCCTTAGGCCATGTAAACATGAGATTCATTCTGGCAGATTTTAAGTTTTGTTCTTGCTATTTATAACAACTCCTTCAAAACCTGAAGCTGGAAATTGTTCTCTTCCTGAAAGTATTCTCCCTCCACAAGAACACATGGATTCATTATTATGTTGTTGTTTGCTCATGAGTGCTGAGGCAATTTTTATTATTTATTCATTTTTTATGGTGGGAGAAACCATTGAAGCTGTTTTAAAAAAAATCTACACGCCATTATGAAATATAGTAGGAAATAAAAGAGTTCAAATTTTGCATGAGAGACTATGACATTTAAAGCAGAAAATAGAGGCAAGTTTCTCAGCTAATCTGTACAAGGATGATTGGAAAGACAAACACCTTAAGTCAAATTCAGTCCCTACAAAAACCAGTACAAATGTATGAAATCAGTGGACTTGCTCCCTCTTATGGCAGTACTGAGTCTAGCACACAAAAGTCAAATATTCACTATATTCACACAATGTTTAAAATCACTAGAACTTACTTTCTCCGCATTGCTGAATTTGGGTCTTCAGCTGTTCTATGTCACAGGTGAATCGGGCAGACCTACCCAGTTCTTCATCATATTTGCGTTCACTCACAAAGTGCTACAAAATATAGTGCAAATAACATTGACTTCTATTTTAAAGAATCCCAAAAGTATTATTTTGAGGGGAAAAGTCATTATCCTGAATCCTGAGTTCATTATCCTGAAATCACTGTAAAGCCTCAGCCATCTGTTGTGCCATGAATAGGCAAGGCAGGCTGTCTGAGCAGAATCTGAGTAGGTAAAACGGGAGTATTTTCCCACCCTGTATTAAGTGCTGGCAGTGTAAGACCCTAACGTAGGTATAAACTACACTGCAATATGAACCCACTTGAAAGCCCCCTTAAACTACCACAGCAGTGTCATAGGGCTTCAAGGTAAATGAGAATTAGATCTAAATGGCCCTGATGATTTTGTTAGGTCAGTCAGCCACGAATTTCAGTGCCCAAAAGATTTTTTGAATGCGCTCACAGGACAATTAGTGTGGCTAAATGAACTTTGGCACAGTTTGCACAGGAGTTTATTGCTCCTGGGAAGAACTAGGGACGGGCTCTTCTTGATCTGCAGCTCACAAACAGGGAAGAATTGGTTAGGGATGTAGAAGTGGATGGCAACTTGGGCAGCAGTGACCACGAGATGAACGAATTCAGGATCCTGAGGAAAGGAAGGATAGAGAGCAGCAGAGTAAAGACCCTGGACTTCAGAAAAGCAGACTTTGACTCCCTCAGGGAACTGATGGGCAGGATCCCCTGGGAGGCCAGTCTGAGGGGGAAAGGAGTCCAGGAGAGCTGGCTGTACTTTAAAGAGCCCTTACTGAGGGTGCAGGAACAAGCCATCCCAATGTGGAGGAAGAGTAGCAAATATGGCAGGCCACCAGCCTGGCTTAGCAGAAGACTCTTTGGTGAGTTTAAACACAAAAAGGGAAGCTAACAAGAAGTGAAAGCTTGGAAAGATGACTAGGGAGGACTATAAGAATATTGCTCAATCATGCAGGGCTGAAATCAGGAAGGCCAAAGCGCAAATGGAGTTGTAGCTAGCAAGGGACGCCAAGAGTAAGAAGAAGGGTTTCTACAGGTATGTTAGCAACAAGAGAAAGGTCAGGGTCTCTTACTGAATAGGGGAGGCAACCTAGTGACAGATGATGAGGAAAAGGCTGAAGTACTTAATGTCTTTTTTACCTCAGTCTTCACTCCCAGACCACTGCACCTGGCAGCACAGTTTTGGGAGAAGGTGAGCAGCCCTCAGTGGTGAAAGAACAGGTTAGGGACTATATAGAAAAGCTGGACGTGTACAAATGCATGGGATTGGATGCATGCATCTGAGGGTGGTGAGGGAGTTGGCTGATGTGACTGCAGAACCACTGGCCATTATCTTTGAAAACTTGTGGCAACTGGAGAAGGTCCCAAATGATTAGAAAAGGGAAAACATAGTGTCCATCTATAAGAAAGATAAAAAGGGGAATTCAGGGAACTACACACGAATCAGCGTCACTTCAGTCCCTGGAAAAATCATGGAGCAGGTCCTCAAAGAATCCATTTCCAAGCACTTGGAGGAGAAGAAGGTGATTAGGAACAGTCAGCATGGATTTACCAAGGGCAAGTCATGCCTGACCAACCTGATTGCCTTCTAGGAGATAACTGGCTCTGTGGATGTGGGGAAATCAGCAGATGTGATATGCTTTGATTTTAGCAAGGCTTTTGATACCGTGTCCCACAGCATTCTTACAAGCAAGCTGAGGAAATATGGGTTGGATGAATGGACTGTAAGGTGGACAGAAAGCTGGCTGGATTGTTGGGCTCAATGGGTAGTAATCAATGGCTCAGTGTCTAGTTGGCAGCTGGTATTAAGTGAAGTGCCCCAGGGGTCAGTCCTGGGGTTGGTTTTGTTCAATACGTTCATTAACAATCTAGAAGATGGGATGGATTGCACCCTAAGCAAGTCTGTGGATGATACCAAGCTGGGGGGCATAGCAGATGCACTGAAGGATAGGGCTAGGATTCAGAGAGACCTAGACAAATCGGAGGATTTGGCAAAAAGAAATCCCATGAGGACAAGTGCAAAGTCCTGCACTTAGGATGGAAGAATCCCATGCACTACTACAGGCTGGGGACTGACTGGCTAAGCAGCAGCTCTGCAGAAAAGGACCTGGAGGTTACAGTGACAATAAGCTGGATATGAGTCAGCAGCATGCCCTTGTAGCCAAGAAGGCTAATAGCATACTGGGCTGCATTAGTAGGAGTATTACCAGCAGATCGAGGGAAGTAATTATTCCGCTCTGTTCTTCACTGGTGAGGCCACGTCTGGAGTACTGCATCCAGTTTTGGGCCCCCCACTATAGAAAGGATGTAGGCAATTTGGAGAGAGTCCAGCAGAGGGCAATGAAAATAATTTGGGGCCTGGGCACATGATTTATGAGGAGAGGCTGAAGGAAATGGGCTTATTTAGTCTGCAGAAGAGAAGACTGATGGGGGATTGGATAGCAGGTTTTAATTACCTGAAGGGTGGTTCCAAAGAAGATGGAGCTACACCAGAGGAGGGCAAAATATGGCCCATGGGCCAAATCCAGCCTGCCAGGCCATTCTATCTGGCCCATGGGGCCTCTTTAAAATGGAGACAATTATTACCTGCTGGTGGCTGCCTGTCTGAAAGCCAGCAAGGCATAGGAGCTGCCAGCAGCACAAGCCATCAGCTACAGGAGCAACCAGCTTGGGCTCTGGTTGCAATGCAACCAACCCAACTCCAGCCTGACCCACCCCACTCCGCTCCTACCTCCAGAAGCTTCTAAAGACTGGAAGCTTCTGGCTAGCAAAGGCTTCTGCCCTGGTGACCCTGTGGCTGTTCCCCAGCACCCAATCATCCGAGAGTTGAAATTCGGGTAAGAATGGGTGGGGGATGGGGGTCCTGGCCATGAAGTGGGGAATTGTGTGCTGCTGGGATGGGCCAGGACAGGCTGGGCCAGGCCAGTGTGGCTCCGTGTTGTGCCATGCTGTGTGGATCCCAGCCTTGCAGCCTGGCCCATCCCATCCTGGCAGCATTCGGTTCCTAGCTGCAAGGCCAGGACCCGCACAGCGCAGCTCGGAGCCAGCTGAGCCCATCCCATCCCTTCCTGGCATCATGCAGTTCCCAGCTGCAAGGCCAGGACCCAGGTGGTGCGGCACGGAGCCAGCACGACCTGGCCCATCCCATCCCCTCCCCTCCCAGCAGCACAAGATTCCCCTGGATATGAGTCAGCAGTGTGCCCTTGTTGCTAAGAAGGCTAACAGCATACTGGGCTGCATCAGTAGGAGCGCTGCCAGCAGATCGAGAGAAGTGATTCTTCCTCTCTATTTTGCACTGGGGAGGCCACAACTGGAGTATTGTGTCCAGCTTTGGGCCTCCCACTACAGAAAGGAAGTAGACAAGTTGGAGAGAGTTCAGCCAAGGGCAACAAAAATAGGGGGCTGGGGCACGTGTCTTATGAGAGGCTGAGGGAACTGGACTTATTTAGTCCACAGAAGAGAAGACTGAGAGGGGGGATTTGATAGCAGCCTTCAACTACCTGAAGGGGGTTCACCGACAGAGGATGGAGCTAGACTGTTCTCAGTGGTGGCAGATGACAGAAGAAGGAGCAATGGTCTCTACTTGCAGCAAGGGAAGTTTAGGTTGGATATTAGGAAAAACTCTCTCACTAGGAGGGTGGTGAAGTGCTGGAACAGGTTACCTAGAGAGGTGGTATAATTTCCATCCTTGGAAGTTTTTAAGGTCCAGTTAACAAAGCCCTGACTGAAATGATCTAGTTGGGGATTGTCCTGCTTTGAGCAGGAGTTTGGACTGGATTACCTCCTGAGGTCCCTTCCAATCCTAATTTTCTATGATTCTATTATTCTAATTAGTCAGCGCCGCAGTCAACATCTCATGTAGATGTGCCCAGAGTGTGAGCAATGGGAAACATTTTCTGTGCCTTTGTTCCTTCCTTTGCAACAGATAACAAAGAGAGAAATGATAATCCTTGGTATAAACTCTGACAGATGATAGAATAATGGTTCAACTTGTAGCCCTTCCTATTAAGTAGGTATATGCCTCCAGAAGGGGAAGGGACAGATAGAAAGAAAGAGCAAGAGAGAGGGCTTATCCCAGCTGTGTGCTGTTCTGGTAGTTGTTTGTTCACTTACAAAGGCTGGCTATAATCTGAAAATGCTTGATGCTTTGGATCCTGTACTGGATAGATGGCCTAAATTCCTTCTATAAGACAAGTCACCGTCAGTCTGACTCTCCACATCTCCACTAAAGCATGCTAGTGACAGACCTGTGTTTCTATGATATATTTTGTCAGTCATCTTCAGCCTGAGCTGGTTCTTTAGGGCACTGTAAAAGAGGCACCTGACTGAAGGTTCAATTTGATACTTGAGAAGAGACACTTGTATCATTCATCAGAATGAAGGGGGTTATTTGGACTTTAAGCTTGCAGACATAATTCTGGCACTGACAGTACTGAGCCACACAAACCACAAAAGCCAGCGCAACACCTTTTAATGGGGTGCAGTCTGCTTTTCCTCCATGTCTCTAGAAAGCCAGCTGCCTTGTGAGCCTATGTATTTATAACATGGACCCAAACTTAGGTTGGTAGCATATGATCAGTATCTATGTAGAGGCAACATATTCAAATGGAAGAAGGGGCTTCACAGACTAACCTTAATTTCAGCCCGTAGTTCAGATAGCTGTGCCTCAGCCATCTGACTTGCTAGGTCTGTCAGTCTTTTCAGCTCTTCAGCTTTTTTCTGACGAGCATTCAAGATTTCCACTGCCAGACAAAATGAAAAACACATCAGTGCTAGAAACATAAATACTTTATAATTATTTATAAATACTGTACATCAACAGGTAGAAGATATACAACATAGCGTACCATATACCTAATGCATTTCTATCTACATGACATTGTTTTTACTTAAGAAGCCCAATCAGTACATTTAACCTAACTGCCTAGTGTTAAGACAATCCAAAACTGAGATGTTGTTAGAAAATCAAGGTTCAATCAGCTCTTCACCAGTTAGACAACCAGGTGCTCTCTAGGCTTTTTGAGCTATTTCCTATGCTTTATTTCTGAACACCAAAAGCACAGAGGGCTCAGCTGAAATGTAAAAAGCAGCAGTGTGCTAGCCAATAACAATATATCTGGGTGCACAGTATATTTTACTTATATGGGACCATTTTATTCCCTTGTGAAAGAAGTATGCTTATATATAGTTTATGTTTAATTCACAGGAGTTATGGTTTTGCTTTCAAGTAGAGATTATCATCTTACTCTGTTTCAGCAATACAATCATGTACCGCTTATACTGTACATGTCAAAGTAGTATTATAAAAGCATAGGACTTTTATTAAAAATATTAAAGGCACACCACTATACACCTCATACATCCTGTATAAGGAAATGCTAAATATTTTATATTTTGCATATGGAAAGAGACTTATTATAAACTGCAATAAATTTGGCCTGCCATCTTAATGCTTAGAAATATATAATGAGCATATTTTGTTAGCTAATTAAATTTACAGTTAGTTAACCAACAAAGGTCCATATAAATGCAATATCTCACCCAGCAGCTGGGAAATGGTGGGTTTGCCTTTATGAGAGGAGAGGGGAGGTTCTATCTTAGCTCCTGTCTATATTGCAAAGTCCTGCTGGCGAAGCTATAGCAGGTAAAGGTGGAAAAAAATCCTTAGTGCAGATGCAGCTCTGTTACCTACTGGTGGTTTTTGTTGTTCAAAGGAACTGGTGGCAGAAAAATGAATGGCAGAGCTAAGTCCTCAACAGAGCACCCAGCTGCCTTAGTGCTACTGCTACTGCATCAGCAGATTCTGTAATGTAGATTGGGATTGTCTAACTAGCAGCCCACATGCAGCCCACGAGGGGTTAAATTGTGACCCTCAGGCTCCTGCTTGGCTGCTGTTCCCCCCATGACTCTGGCTGCAACAGCATCCAGAGCCTCAGGGTTCACCCTGCTTCCTCCAGCTGCTGCTTTCTGCCTCCTCCAGAGAGGATGGGGCAGTGTGGCATGGTGCACAGAGAGCTGAAGGTCAGTTCTAGGTTGTGCACAGGGTGCATGGGAGGGGGATCGGGGTTGCATGGGGAAGGGTGCCCACATGGGCATGTGATGCAGCAGGGAGCTGGCGAAGTGTCCATGCAGCATGCAGCCCAGTCACCCATGTCTCTTCCCTGATAGAGACTGTGCAGTGTGAGTGAGGCCCCTGCTGGTGTGGCTCTCAGGGACTTAGAAGTTGGAAAGCACTGATGCAGACAATGGCCCAATAAATGCAAAAGAATAACAACAGCAGTGTTTTGGTTAAAGCACAGGAACAGTAGTCAAGTAACCTTGGAGAGGTCCTCAGCTGATTAAATTGTCATTCCATTTACAATTAACTTCAATGCCTCCTAATTTTTCTGCCTCACTTTATTACAGATTTCCTGAGTGATCTTGGCAAGCTCCTTATCCTTCTTTGTGCTTTAGTTATATCATCTTTAAAATGAAAGTAACATTACCATATCTGACTGTGGGTTTACATTACTTAATCTACTAACATTTCTGAAGAGCATTGTGATCCTCACATGGTAAACCCTTTAAAAGTGCAAAGTGCTATTTATGTTCTGTGGTAGCCTTTTGCTTTGCTCCCTACCTGTTCTCTAATTCTTCCTGAAAGAAGACAAGAATATAGCTTCCAACTCTGTCATCAACTGAATCTCTGATACATGAGCAAGCACTATATTACAGGTGTTTTTAGTGATCTCCTTGGCTATGCTTTGTTACTTGCTGAAGTTTTTTTTTAAATAATGCCAGTATTGCAGGTGCAGGACCAAATTTTCCAGAATGAATGCCCAAACCGTGCATTTAAATTCCACCGTATCATCTGGTTCACACACATGTATGTTTTCATACATAGTTATAGTGACCAGATCTGGGAGTCTGACCCAGTGCCTATAGAAATAGTATAATTCTAATAGTATAAATATGGAAATAGAGAAAAGGGTATAATCCTTGTTAGTAAAATACTCCTTTATATGGGAAGTTATGAAGGTAGATAATATTAATTAACATCTTACATTTCTGTAATAACTTTTACCCATAGATCTAAAAGCACTTCATAGGTTTTCAGCCGTATAAGAGCCATGAGAAACAGTACAAGCCTCACTATAAAGACAAAGACCTATCCAAAGCCACATATCATGACACTAGAAAATCAGCAGAAGTAGAATCTAAGTCATGTAATAACACAGCACAAAACCAACAGTTATGTTACATCTTAGGATATATAATTTATAATGCGCTAAGTTATTTCCAGCCCAATGATACCATCAGGTCTGGACTGTTTATTTCTGAATTGTCTTTACTGATGCATTTAGGACTTGGATCCTGCCCCACTGACAGTAGAAATTTAATGGGAATTTTGCCAATGACTTAATTGGAAGCAGGAACGCGCTGTACCGGTGATTACATTGGTCTCTATGAGTAATTGAGCAGATGCAGACATATTTCCATCTTCAAAGAAGACCTCAAGAATAGGCTACAATCCTGAACTCCAGATCCACACATCTTTCATAGTTGCATTAGCAGAGCTCTCCCAGGAAACACTGCAAATTATGTTAATGTGGTCCATGAATGCCTCATTCCCAAGGACTAGCTCTGTGGGTCCTGTATGAGAACTCTACAACGGATGTACCACAATTGTCCACGCCAGCGACGGAGAGACCGTAGTGATCCCCATCCGGTCGGGGGTGAGACAGGGCTGCCTCCTCAGCCCCATCATCTTCAACCTAGCCAAGGAACCACTCCGAGCCATGGCAGGCGGCCCTGGTGGGCTCAACCTATACGGCCAGAAATTGAGCGCCCTGGCCTATGGCAACGACCTCGTTCTCCTCGCCCCCAACACCACCCAGCTGCAGCAGATGCTGGATGTGATGTCCGAGGTGGCCAGGTGGATGGGCCTGCGCTTCAATTTCCCCAAGTGCGCCTCCCTGCACGTCGATGGCAGGCAGAAGAGTCGCGTCCTGGACTCCACCCTCACGATCCAGGACCAGGCAATGAGGCACCTGTGCGATGGCGAGGCCTACTGCCACCTGGGGACACCCACCGACCACTGGGCTAAGCAGACACCAGAAGAGACCATCAACGGGATCATGCAGGATGCCCACAAGCTGGACTCATCCCTGCTGGCCCCCTGGCAGAAGATAGATGCGGTGAACACCTTCCTCATCCCCAGCGTTGTGTTTGTCCTGAGAGGTGTGGCGATCCCCAAGACCCCCCTCAAGAAGGTGGACACCAAGATCTGGCGGCTATTGAAGAAGTGGCTGAACCTGCCGCTAAGGGCCAGCAATGAGATCCTGTACATCCTCTGCTGGCAGGGAGGTGCCAATGTTCCCTGCACGGGAGATGTCTGCGACATCGCGGTGGTCACCCACGCCTTCTGCCTCCTGACCTGCTCAGACCCCACGGTAAGTATCATCACTGCCAGCGCCCTCAAGTAGACCACCCACAAGAGGACTGCGAGGCAGCCAACCGGACGTGACTTGTCCACCTTCTTCAGTGGCTCGCTGGAGGGCAAATTCAGCAGAGACAGTGGGGACTTTGCCTCACTGTGGAGCCGAGCCCACAATGCCACATGCCACCTTGGGAAGTGCATCAGCTGCGCCTGGACCTGAACCTGGACCGAGGAGTGCCGGGAGCTGGGAGTCTCCCTGCAACTAGCCCCCCTAGCTCCTTGCAACTGCGTCACCGTGATGCCCCACATGAGGACCTTCCTGGAGTGGTTCCTGAAGGACACCATCTGAAACAAGTGCGCTGGCAACCTGAGGGCCAAACCCGACCAGGGCAAGGTTTCTGACGTCACCTCAAAGTGGAACTCCAGCAACCACTTCAGGCCCAGTGGGAGCTTCACGCGCTTTGTGGACTGGTGCTTCCTCCACTGTGCCTGCCTCAACTGCCTGCCTCTGAATGAGGCTGTCCGGTTCGGCCACTGGCATGAGGTGCCGACGGTGCGGCTACCTGGTAGAGACCCTCCCCCACGTGCTGTGCAGCTGCAGGCCACATGCCAGAGCCTGGCATCTCTGCCACAACGCTGTCCAGGACCACCTGGTGAAGGCCATCCTGGCTGCAGCGGGGGAGATCTCTATGAACCGCATCGTCCTGGGCTGCGAGAGCCAGATGTGACCTGACATCGTGATCACCAATGAAGGGGCCAAGAAGGTCATGATTGTGGATGTGACCATCCCCTTCAAGAACTGGCGCCAAGTCTTCACCGACGCCCGGGCTTGCAAACGGGATAAGTACTCCCTGCTGGCTGACATCCTCAGGGGCCGCGGCTACGACGTGACGGTCGGCGCGCTCATCGTGGGAATGCTCGGAGCCTGGGACCCCAGCAAGGAGAGCGTCCTGCATGCCTGCTGGGTCTCCTGCTGCTATACCAAGCTGATGTGCTGCCTCATGGTGTCCAACACCATCTGCTGGTCCCATGAT